AAGATGATAAGGTGCAAACATGCGTTACAGATGTCAGCACAAGCGCTTACTTTTGTCATGTGAGTCAATTCATCAATTTTTTTTCCGTTTATCTGCAACGCTACTTGGTCAAGGCGACGGGGTTCCGTGTCGAGCAATTCACCATGCCCCACTGGCGGTAGTCTTGTTGGGTTGAGTGGCGCAGCAGCGGCGTGGCGAAAGCTTTTAGTGCGTCATAAAAACGACATGAATTTTCAATACGAATTTGCCTGTCCACTGTATTATTTGTGCATGCGCAGTGCGCTGCAGCCTGCGGCCAAGAGGAAATTTCGCCCAACGCTGACGCACTGCACGGTGTTGTTCTAACCTCGTGAAGAATTGAATGTACGTACATTTTAACACCGATTTCTGGTGAGCACGGTGTCTTCATGAGGTAACACTATAGCAAAGGCTATTCCGCTTTGCATCCATCGTCACAATGGTAAAAGGTTAAGAGCGGCGAGACGAAGGCAAAGAACGAAAGAAACTCTGGCAGGTATGAAAAATTCGTATGGTTTGGTTGGTTCTGGTGCAGAAATACGTCTCATAAGTTTTTCATACCAAGCCTCTCGCCCTGCCACCACCAGACGCATCTCGGAGCCGAAGTAACAAACAAACAACAAACCAGTGAACAAAAGCAAGCGGCAGTCAAATAGCGCCCACAGATATTATGTTTGTGCTTAAGGTTTAGTTTAATTAGGTGTTAGTGAGATCGTGTTGTGCCATGGACGTCAAAAAGGGGAAGCAGTGAGCAATGGAGACTTGGTAAACATCGGGCCTGCAGTCCATGTGATGTAGGAACTCGAAAGGTAATGCTCTGTCATCATTTCTTGTCCAACCATAACCTATACGGTTGCGAACACGTTTCGCATACAAAATAGTTTGGGATTTTAATTTTATAAATTGGCGGGTTATGGTACTCCTGTCTCATTCTGGGCTCGATGTGAATTTATGACCGCATTTAACGGCATCGCTCCGGGCGACCACTCGTCGCACTTTATCGACATTTTTCTCGTGCAATAAACGGGCTTTTACTTTGAATCGACGGCGCATCGCTTTGCCGGGGTCGGGACGACGTCGGACCGCCACTACACTCCGTGGCCCAGCAGCCCCCGGCTCGGCGGCTCGGCTCGGCCAGGGCCGTAAACAAGACCAGTTTCTGACCCCATTTCGACGGCCGCTGCCCCGGACCGAATATAGGGGGTTCGGCTCGCGTGTCGCGACACACGCACACCCTCACACACAGACACGTCGAGGAGGCAGTGGCGTCCGAGGCAGGGCGGAAAATACTAAGACTGAGGCGTGAGTAAGTGGCTGGCTGGCGGCGCGGCGGCGGTCCCTCCCGGATTCGGGATCTCGGCGGAATGAGGACAAATTGGTGCGTAGATTAGACCGGGCCCGGCCACCCTGCAGGGCTCTGCCGGCTCTGCCCTCCCTGACGTTCCGACCACGCCGGCGGTTCGGCGAGGCCCGCCTAGGCCCTCAACCCTGCGCTTGTCTCGTCCTCGTCCCCTCGGCGGGGCGGGGCGGGGCGGGGCGGCCCTCGCGATGAGGCAGCACGGCGACGTCGGCGACGTGCCGCTCCTCGCCGGACAAATTCGTCCGGAAAGCCAAAGGCAAGCCACCCACCAAGGCCCTCCTGTTCTCCCTGCCGCGCCGCCGTATGGAGTTGGTAGCTGGCAGTGAGTAGAGGTTTGCGCGAGGGGGTCTTGTGTGTTAAACTGCGCGGAAACCCCCGGTACACCGCAGCCGGGGGGAGGGTGGGAGGAGGTGCACCTTGGTGGCATTGTGACATGGGGGAGCCCCCCTCCCCGCGGCCCCGCGGGGCGTGGGGGTTTGACTTACCCTTTAATTACAACGGAGATACCTCGCCTCGCGCCCCCGCGCCTCGCCCCCGCGCCACCCCCGCGCCGCCCCCGCGCGCACGCCATCGTCGCTCTGTTAGTTTCCTCTACGGTGAACACCGCGACACTTGCCGAAAAATTGTTCAAAATCCAGTAATGATATGTTGTCGCGACAACGCGGCCCGCTAAGCCCTGCGGGCCCCGGACCGTGGCCCGCGGTGCTCTGGCCGTTCTGGCGCCCTCGCCGCCCCGCCGCCCCGCCCCGCACCTGGGACCATTGTTGGCGGGCTTGACCCGGCGGCGCGCCGTGCCCGACACCGGAAACAATCACCGGAAGCGAGCCGAGTAATAAACTAACTCCCCGCATTTCCGCGGGACTCTCGCAACGGAGCAAATTCCAAAACAATAATAAGAATGAACGCCTTTCGGGGGGTGGGGGCCCTGGGAGGGGGCTCGGCTAAAGAGGCCCGAATTTCTGCGGCGCCATCTTTTGTGCCGCCGCCGCGCTGGCTGCCGCGCTGCCGGTGTGCGAGTCCGTTCCGGCGCTGCTGTCTGCCCTTCCTGCCAGGAATTCAAAGAGTCGCTTTCTCGATATACATTTTATTCCGGGGCCCCGCCAGCCAGCCAGCCAGCCCAGTCCCGGCTCGAGGACCTCGCCGTCCCCCCCCCCCCCCCCCGCGGGGCCCCGGGCCGACCTCTCGTTACCTCCGCAATAAATCCGGGCCACGTTTCGGCGGCCAAAGAGCGGCAGTCGTTGAGCTGCCGAAGCAAGGCGAAGCTCGGCGGAGCTCGGGGAGCCAAGGCCGCGGCAAAGCACTCGATAATGTGCGTTTTTTGTTGCCGCAAAAAGGACGACGAGTCCTTCCGCCGCGGAGTCTCTCCTGGCCGGTCCACTGGAGCCACGCTGGAGCCACACTGGAGCCGACGCGCGGCCGACCCGAAGGACCCGCTCCGGACGCGCTTTGAGCTCCTTGAATGGGACTCCAATGTGGTGGCGCTTGGAGAGCGATAGTAGCAGATAGGCACTGATAGAATCCGTGAAGGATGCCTATAATCCAGCATCACGTGAGTTCGCCCCGAGTCGAGCTCTCATTCTAGATCTCGAAACGCGCCGAACGCGTTGTGTCCGACGGACGGGGCGGCCCGTGAGTGCGAGAGAGACGGGGCGAGGATCAGTGCGCTGCCGACTGGCCGGCCATAATGCAGCTTGTTTAATCTGCCGCGTTGGGATCGATGCTTCGGGCTTCGGCGCCGTGAGGGGCGAGGCGAGGTGTAAGTTGCAGGTCGATGTGGTGCAGCGTGAGGGGGCAGGCCTTGCCCCGCCTTGCGGTGTGGGCGCGGCGCGGCACGGCCCACAGGAAGCGCAGCTAATGAGCTACGTGACGGGGCAGAGCGAGGCCGGTGGGGCTTGCGGGGCTTGCGGGGTTTGCGGGGCCAGCGAGGCGGGCCGGAGCAAAAGGAAGCAGTTGCAGCTCCTCAGAAAACGCAACAGAAGCAAGCGCGGCGCGGCGCGGCGAGCCTAGCAGGGCCAGCCGCCCCCTCTTGGTTGACTTTGCCTGCCAGGCCTGCCTGCCCGGCTGCCTCCGTCATGCCACTGCACTGCCATTACTTCTTGGACCCGGGAAGGGAAACGGCGTTCGCCGCCAGGAGGAAATGCTTTTGGTGCCAAAAAAATGAAAATGAAAAAAATAAAATATGAGGATAAATGGCGAGCTAAAGTACTTCGGCGGGGTTTGACTGTAATTTCCAGTGCAAGTCGTCGGTGTTGCTGGGTAGGGGCCGCCACGCGAGTAGTGGTACCGAATCGTGTCCGGGCAGGCAAGCCCAGGCAAGCCCGGGCAAGCCGCAGGCCGCACGACAGCGCGGTACCGGCATTCGTGTCTGCAAGCCAACTGTCGGACATGCCCGCGCCCGGAGGTGATGACCCGGACGCGGGGGTGTGTTGGTGTGTGTGTGTGGGGGGGGGGGAGGAGGGAGTATGTCCAATCGAATTATAATAACGCCGGCCCATCTTGATGAATCGGGCAGGTTGGACACGCCAACTATTTTCTTTTCCGACAACGACACTTTGGCGTGCTGTGGGCCCTATGGGCCGCCGAGCGTAGAAAGGCGCCCATCCCCAAAAAATGGAACAAAAATAAAAATTAAAAAAAAAAAATCTTGAAACCGAAACCGTGGCGTGGTGTCCAGCCGCCGGCTCACGGAGACGCGGTGACGGAATGCGCGTGAGCCCCCGCCGTCGCCATGGCGTCGCCCGCGTCGGAGTCTCGGAGGCCGCGCTGATTTAGAGCGCAGGGCCTACACTGCAGGGCCTCGCGCCTCGCGGCGGGCACACTGTGCGGCCGCGCCGGGGCCCGGGGCGCAGGTGAGGCCGTCGGCAGGGCGAGGCCAGGCGAGGCCAGCGAGGCGCCGAGGCTCCGGGCCGTCAGCGCGAGTGCCTTTTAGTGGAGTCTCGGCACGCATGTACGCCGTGTCGCCGTGTACGCCGTACCCACACTGTACGCGACACGCGCGCCATTTTTGTAATGAGGCGCCTCGAGGGAGCGGCACGATGATGAGGCAGGGCGAGTGTGTGTGTGTGTGTGTGTGTGTGTGTGTGTGCTTTTATTAAGTAAAGACTGTCGCGAGTGGATGAATTTGTCGCCAGTTTTTTCGGGTTCATGTCTGAGTCGCTGTCGGCGTGCATGCCACCGACGACTCGCCAGTCGCCCCGGTGTCTGGCGTGGCAGTGTGGCGGCCTCGGCGGTGAGTTGTCGACGTTGTCGATTCGCTGCCATCCGTTGACGGACAGGGCTCGCCAGGGGGCCTCGCTCGCGTGTTTGCCTCCCAGACCCACCCCCTCCCCCTTCCCCCGCGCGGCCCGTCCCCTTAGGTGGCGCCTCGCGAAACCAAGGGGAGCTAGATTTCACACTTACTAGCGGTAAATACTCTGACCAGACTGACGACGGGGTGGGGTGGGGCCGTGCGGGGGCAGCGCGGCGGCTGGGGTTGGGGTGGCTCGCGCGACGGGGCGGCACGGCGCTCAGTTCGCTCGCCACCCCCGAGCCGGCAACACCCCGCCGCTCCGCGCCGCGCGTCGCCAGGCCGCCAGGGCCGTCCGCCGAGCTCCGCGTCGTGCTGCAGCTCGCGCCGCCAGGGCCGCCCCCCTTGTTGTTGTTGTTGGCGGCCGTGCGCGGCGCGTTGCTGTTGTCGGTGTTGATGTTGCCGCCGGCATGGGGACGTTAAGACCGCGGTGCGGCTGGCGCTGCTTTACATAGGACCGCCGTAACTCACCGGGACTTGCTGGCGGAAGCGCCTTGCTGCCTGGCCGCCTTGCCCGCCTTGCCGCGCGAGACGCAGCGGCAGCGGCGCAGCGGCGCAGTCCAAACTGCAGTTGTTGGCGGCGCGGCAACAACGCGTCGGTGAATCATACGGCGTGCGCGGTGGAGCGTGCCGAGTAGTGCCGAGCGGCCACGTGCGTGTGTGTGCGTGAGTGAGTGTGTGGGTGTGCGCCCCGAGGATTTGCGGTGGGCCTGCCGAAGAGCTTGTGCTGCTGCGCGAGGATGCTTTCGACGTGCTCGACGAGGATGCAGCGACCAGGACGCTGAGCACCTCGCCGTCGACGCCGCGTCCAGGACGTCCAGGATGGAGGCGGCCGCGCCGCGGGCCGCGTGGCTCGGCGCGCTGCTCGTCTTGCTTCTGGCACAAGGTAGGCGCGGGTTCGAGTCCCCACCTGTGCCGAGCGTCGCGGACTTTTGTTTGTCTTTGCGAACTCTCCACCGCGCTGTCCTGAGTGACTCGCGGGCCTGCATGGCCCTGCATGAAGCACTTCACTCAGTGGCTCGACTGTTGGCAAACAAAGCGAATCTTCCTGCCTCACCCCAGGGCCCGGCCCGTTTTCGGAGTTCACCTGGCTGGGCGGAAGGCAGCCGGTCTTTGCGCCCTTGCTCGGCCTCCCGTATGGGTGGCCCTAAATGAGCGGTGCCCTTGGCCGCGCTGGCCGCGCCGGCCGCGCCTGTCGGTGGCGAACTAGCGCCAAACTAGTCCGGCCTGACCCTCCGCATAAAGGCGATTGTCGGCGATGGAATCCAGACCGGACCGTCCGGGCCGACCCCTCCTCGCCTGGCCCGGGCGCCTGGGCGGGGCGGCGCGTGTTTGGCCGCGGTTTCGTGTGTTGAAATTCAGCCGGGACGGAAAGTTGACGGAGGCGGATGGGGATGGGAGGGCCCCGGGGCAGGGACGGGCTGTGGGCCGAAACCGCATCACCGGAGACGGGCGGGGCGCGGCGGGGCGCGGCGGAGCGGGGCGGGCTAGACGAGGTCCTCTCGTTTGCGCCGTGGGAATGCTGGGAGCGCCATTCTTGCAAAGAGAACCTCTTGGTAAAGCAGTTGACAGGAAACCAGCGGCACGCCTACAACTTGGAATTCAGTTAGAGGGGCCGAGTGAGCCAGCCCCGCGCCGCCGCCGCCGTGCCCCCCGGGGCCCCCATGACCCCCTCCCCCTCCGCGGCCGCCAAGTCCGCCACATGCAGGCGAAAGGCGGGCGGCCCAGGGGCAGGCGGGCCAAAAACTTGGGCCCGGAATTACTCAGTTCGTCCTTTGTCTGGATGCCAGGCAATGCCAGGCAAGCGCGCTGCGGACGCCCTGCGGACGCCCGGTAAGACGCCCCAGCCCGGCAGCCCGGCAGGCAGGTGGCGACGAAGACGACCTTCAGCGGCCTGGCCCGGGCAGCCTGGCCCGAGGGCGGAGGGTCGCCCGGCCAGATTGGCTTGTGCGCAGTGTGCGCAGTCTCGGCCGCCACGCGCCACCGCGTCCGGCAGCGCGAGGCGGCGGCTCCTCCAAGAAGCGGAGCGCGAGGCCGCGAGGCGCAAGATTGGAAGCCCAGTCATGCAGGCGGCAGCCGGCAGCCCCTTCCTCCAGTGTGCCGTGCATCCATCGCCGTGCTCGGACTCGAGAAATCGAAACCACGTGGCGGACACGGCGGACGCGATTCGGGCCGGGCGGGCAGCCAACCCTTGGGGGCCCGCCGCCCCGCCGGCCCTGCCGGCCCCGAAGGGCGCGCTGCACGACGGCGTGCCTGGGCCCGCCCTGGGCCCGCCCTGGAACCACCCTGGGCCCGCCCTGGGGTCGAGGACGGCGGGCGGGGCCCGGGCGCGGCTGGCCGGCACGGCGGTCAGCCGCAATTTTGGATCGATTTTTCTTTGAAGCGCAGAAACGAGCAGTCACGGTGGCCACAACGCGCTGGGCGCCGCGAGGCGGCGTGTATGCTAAAGTGAGAGCGATCACACGCCTGGGACGCGCGGGTTCGAATCCCCGGTCGAAGGGCGTTTTTCCCATTACTTTTTTTCCTCCTTCCCTCGCGAGATATCTGGCACACGTGTCAACGCCGCGCCAGTCCGCGCCTTGTTTGCGGAGACGGCCCGCCTTCCTTTTATTTGCGTTCGGAGAAGGCCGAGGCGCAAATCGACGTAGTGCGGAGGGCGTGGCGGGGCGGGGCGGCCCGGGCCGCGTGTTTTGATGGAGCAATAAATGCGCAGCAACACGCACGGCAAGGACGCGCCGAGGACGCGCCGAGGACGCGGCCGCCGCCAAGCGCGAGGAGCCAAGTTGCTCGCTGTCTAAATCCCCGCCGTGGTGGCGAGGAATCGCGGCAATGGCGCTGCCGCTGCTTACAGTGGAGTCTACAGCCACCAGTGCCGCCATGGCCGCCAGGGCCCCCGCTGAGACAAGTCTTCCATATGAGCGGCTCCCGCCAAGCCCCCGCTTGCATCGCCCCGAACTGCTTCATTTCAGCGCAGTGCTGCGCAGCGGCAGCGCCCCGGCCGGGGCCTCGGCGAGGGTTTCTTGGGATCCGGGGTTCCGGGGTTCCGGACTTTGACGGCGTGGCAGTGGGGTGCGCGTGGGCGACTTATGTGTGGGCGTTGATCCATCCAGCCAGATCCACTCAGGGACGGCGCAGCGCGCAGCGGGGCGGCGGGGCGGGGCGGCGGAGAGCGGGGAAGGGCGACCTCTTGCTGGGCTAGCGATCAAAGCCCTAAGGGCCGCACGTTGCCGCCCTCGGGCGCCCTCCCTCGGCGCCCTTTTCGCGCGTCCCTTCGGCCCTGCGTCCGCGCGGCCCCGCGGCCCTGCGCCCTGCACTCCCCAGCACGTCGCGGACCTCGGCCCTCGGCCCGGCCCGGCTGCAGCTCGCCGCGTTGGCGCATTATTCGTGCGTCCCTCCTTGTGGAAACCGCACGGCTGGCTTGGCCTGCGAGTGCGCGGAACCGGCGCGGAATCGGATGGAGATGATTCGCTGCTCAGGCTACCCCCCCCCCCCCCCCGCCCCCTTTTCCGACTGAGCAATATCTTTTCAATTCGGGGCCGAACCCCCACCCACCCCACTCACCTCATTCCCCTCACCACGGCAACGAAATAAGGCGCCTTCGGTCAAGCTCTTTTCGCTCTGCAGCTGCACTGTGCTGCACTGGGGCATCGCGGCCGTGGCGGCCATGGCGGCAGTCCCTGCGCATGACGCTGCGGTGCAGTTTGTGGCGGTTGCACTTTATGACCGGGAGGGGTCTTGTGTCGTGCTCTCTCCCTCCCTCTCACTCCCTCCCAGGGCGGCCAGCGTGTCGGGGAGCGTGGCGGGGGGGAGGCGGGGGAAGGAGGTTGAGCGAACACGCGCCGGCAGGGTGCCGGCCGGGTGCCGGCAGGGTGCCCGTAGGTGTACCCGGGTGTACCTGGCGTGGACGATGTGTTGATGAGGCGGTCGGGGAGGGGCGGCTATTTTATGAACGGGTTGTACTCGACCGGCACGTACCCAGGATTTGCCTTCAGGGGAGGTTTGTGTCGCACCCTCCGCCTACTTAAGCCCGGTTGCACTGCAAATTGCCTATACTATCGCATTGCAGATTTCAGGATCTATATGTGCAGTCACGGCGTGACGGCTCTCTTGCAAGTCACTTTTGATGCCATATTTTAAAATTGAAGTGAAAAAATATTCTTTTTTGGCAGTGCAGCAGGGTTTTGCGGCGGGCGGGTTTTCATTTTCGGAAAGCGAGCGCACGAAAACCGCCGGGCCGCGTGCCGCCCCCCTCTCCTTTCGCTGTCGATACGTTCGTATCTGACGGGGCAATCAAAAGCGTCGTGCTGATGTCTGAGTCACCAAATCACGCATCCCTGGCCTGCCTGCCCTGCCTGCCCGCCTGACCGCCTGCCTGCCTGGCTGGCCGTCCGCGCGGTGCGTGTCGCCTGTGTTTGCCGCGCAAACCTGCCGCGCGGCGCGGCGATAAGAATTGACATAAGCATGCCTCCGAGATGCCTCCCCCTTCCCCGCCCCTCACGCGCTTCTCCTTCGCGTGTTCCGCGCGTCACTTTTCCGCCAGTTTTATCTATTTTTCGGGTTTTCAAGAACTATTGATGTCTATTAGACGTTAAAACCGTCGGTTTGGATCAGAATGTCACCAAAGAGAAAGCTCTCTGTTTTCAACTTCGTCGTGTCTTTTTTTCGCGCCTTTCTTTTCCTGTGTGGCTCTTAGCTCGCCGCTTCGATTCGTGTCGGCGAAAGTCCAACCCGAAAACAATGCAACAACTGCTAATCCATTTTCGTGCTGTCCTCTAATGGCGATGTCCATGTCGCCGCCGTGGCGTGGCGCGCCCTTGTCCGTCGATATAATTTGCTTATCGTGCCTGCGCGACATCGACAATCCATCAGCCCCGCCTAGGGCTCGCGCACGCCCGTTCAGCCGTGTGCATACGGCAGCTTACACCATTGTCTTCTGTTAGGAACTATATATCGTTGCGGTTTTCAAAAAGTGTGCATTTTCCCGCGTGCGAATAATGCCTTTGCATTTCCCGGAAACTGACCATGCCCCCCCCCACTCAAAAACAAGCGAGCGCGCACATACGTAGCGGTGTCCAATCGCAGAGCAGGCCCAGAGATTTAATATTTAGCCATTCAATTAACGAAATATTTAATTTGCATTCCACTCCCGCCTGCCTCGCGCCCCGACGCGCTCCCTTTCTTTTTTATTATTTCATTATATTTTTTTATTTTTTTCAAATCGTCATCCTCGGCGGGGCTCTCTTTCGCTAAGCACGTGACAACTCAACGTCCGGCGCACCTGACGCTCAATGAATTAATGAAGCACGCAGTCATGCCGTGGCGGCGCGGGGCGGGGCGGAGCGGGGCGGTCCGAACGCCAATGCCAGCAAGCCCTCATTAGCAGTGGGCTTGCCTTTGTTTCTGGCAGCCCCACGCCTGGCCCACGCCCACACTGCCAAACGGGTACCACTACTTCGTTCCCACCCCCACCCCCTCTTTTTAGGGGGCAGGGGGGGGGGGTCGCGACACAGCCGGCCATTAATTTGGGCGCGGATTAATTCTAAACCACAAAAAAGTTCGTAAACTTTAACAGGTGTAGTCTTTTCGGTTTTTCAGTTGGCCCGGGTTTTTCCCTGAGGTTCGCGTCGCAGGTGGCCGTGGGTAAGGCGAGCTTCGGCTTGCGGTGTGGTGGTCTGGCGGTGTGGCGCAGCGCGCTGCAGGTGTAGTGTTCCCCGCGGTGTTCGACTCGGTTCCGGTGTCGGCCCGTCGGCCCCAGGCGTCGTCGACGCCCTAATCCTTGCTGGACGCCACCACGCCGCCACGGTTTCCCGCTTCGCGCCTCATTGTGCCGGCCGGCCTGCCTGGCGGCCTGCCTGGCGGCCTGCCTGGCGGCCTCGCCGGCCTTGG